GGCAGTTTGCAATGAATACTCGATCCTCGGCTACATCCTGGTAGTTAGGGGGAGCACACAGATCCCGGAGCTGCACGTAAGTGCGATAGATATAGGTTCGACCGACCACTTCCTCATATGGGCAAACATCGACCGATCTAGAAAGATCGAGAGTAAGAAACAGAGGAAAGTGTTCCGGTGGAAAGTAGAGCGTTTGGGAGACGAGGGGACACGGGATGAATTCCAGAAGGGACTGGCTGGTAGTGTAGAACCCTTCAGGGAACTGATGAGACGCGTCGAAGACAGACAGGTAGACGTACAAGCAGCAGGGGGAAGGGTGATAAAACGGTGGGAGTCCATAGTAACACAACGGCAGAGAGAGTAGTGGGAAAGAAGGTGGTAAGATTTGGGGTATCGGTTAAGTGGTGGGATGACGAGCTGAAAGAAGAAATAGGGGAACGTAGAGAAGTCTTCAAGCAGTACCTGAGTGAGGCGTCTGAGGAGAGTTGGGAAAAGTACAGGGCCAAGAGAAAACAGGTGAAGGGACTAGTGAAAAAGAAGAAAAAGTGTATTTGGGACGAAGTAGTGCAGAAGGCCAACGGAGGCCTGGAGAGGAACGTCCAGCAGATGTGGGCAGGGATTAGTGGAATGATAAAAAAGACCGCGCAAGGGGGGGATACAGGGTTATATTTGCGAGGTGCGAACGGTGGATTAGTCAGCAGTGGGAAGGGGAAAAGGGGACTTCTAGCAGGAGACTTGGAGTGCCTTCGGAGAATGAAGCCTTTGACGAAGTGTTTAAGAAGGAGGTGGACGCATGGGCCCAAGAAGAAGAGACATCAAAGGCAGACGTTGGGAACGTAGAACTAGAAAAGGAGTTCACTGAGGACGAGGTTGAGGCGTGTGTGAACAAGCTGAAGTGCCACAAAGCAGCAGGAGCGGATGGGATAGTCAACGAGTTCATGAAGTGTGGGGAGAAGGGGATGATCCAGCTGATGGTACTGCTATACAATTAGGTGTGGAAAAACGAGTATACGCCAAGTAGATGGAGGGAAGGAGTGGTTGTGAAC